GGACAGCACAAAGCTTTGGTGTGCATTGCTATTCACACGCTCCTGGTCCAAACTGCAGGGCAGCATAGATGAGATGTAGGCTTATGTATGTGTGACTGAAAATCGTCATCTCGATACTCACAGGTAATTCTGAAATGTCTGAAATTGACACCATATCTGTCCCAAGATTTAGATAGAAAATTGAGGGACCGCTTAATGCATTCTGTTTCAATATCTGCACTTCTTGATTTGAACACTTCCCCAGATCTTCCCCCAAACTAAAATACTCCCCTCAACCTCCCACCTGCCTGAGCAAGTCAACAGGATTAGCCTGGCTGTTCATTTCTGCTGAGTTTCCAGGGCATTCTGTTTAATCTACTGTGTTTAGTTACGTGCTCTTTTGGGCCAGGAATGTGTGTATTCTGTCTTGTACTGCACTGTCCACTTGGTCAGCTCTTGAAAATAATGGATCGTAACCCCCACAAAGGAGACTGTTACTCATTATTTTGTCCAATGCATTCTGGGAGCTGCAGAGTGAAGAATTGCCAGGGTGTCCAATTATTCTGATTCTCTGGCCAGCTGCAGGAGCAGGTTACAACAGCTGGGTGGCTGCTTTAATCTGTGCCTGCTAGCAAAGTACAAATAGCATACTCTCAGGGTACATAGCTGTGGTTGGTGGCCAGCTCGCTGCCTGCACTAATGTGCCCTCCTGCAGCATGAGTTTGTGGAGAGAAGACATAAGAGCAGGTGTCTGTGGACTGTTCTATGTACTGAAATAAAGTGTGACTGTACATTGGCTTAAGTTGATCAAAATACTTGTGCTGAGTTTTAAGCACCTGTTTACGCCTCATCCACATTCGTAAAGTTGGACACCCGACTAGGGATGTGTCTGTATCAGAGGCAGCAATGGCCGGGGGAAGGGGACCGGACAGGAACCAGTGCCAGGGGGCGCTGGCTTAAAAGCCGGTTTCCCCCAGCACCGTCTCCGCGGTGCTGCCTGCTCCGTGATGCTGATGAGTGTGGGGGTAGGGGAGGCTGCCGTGAAGCAGCTCCTGTTCGTGGGGGTGGTCCCAATGGGGAACTGGGCCTGCCTGCGGACAGAGGCTGCTGCCAGAACACCTTCTGCTTGCGGCCAGTCTGGCTGCCACAAACAGGGGCTGCTGGACGTAGCACAAGCTAGAATTGAGCAGTCCTGGCCCACGCCAGTGCAGGACTGCTGCAGCTCTGCATTGTAAATGTAGTAAGAGGTGCAGCGTCCTGGACCGGCATGAGCCGGGTCTGTGAGCTACCACCGCTGTGGCTCTGCATTTTAAATGTAGTAAGAGTCAGGTGGCTGCATTTAAAATGCAGAGCCACAGCAGTCCCAGCTCTGTCCTGACACGCACTGGTCCAGGACCTACCCCGCTGTGCCTTTGCAGTTTAAATGTATCTGCACACCTGCCTCATACTACATTTAAACTGCAGAGCCGCAGACAGGGTATCTCCTGGACTGGCACGAGCCGGGACAGAGCACTTTCTTTTATCGATTAATCATGTAATTGATACAAATAGTATCGACTACACAGTTATTCATTTACCCACCTCTTAACATCCCTACACCCCACAAAATCTAGGTACGCATATGCAGTTAGCAGAACTACCTCAAACTGGGAGAAATTCTAGGTTATGACAATCTTGCAGCCCACTGAGATGGAGGGCTACTCATGTGGCCCCCTCACCAGCCTAGGTTGCCCATCGCTTCACTTGATCCTTCCAGAACAATAGACCCAGGATCATCAGACTTATCTCCCATCGTTATAATGATCACAACACACCTTTTAAGATCCATGGGCCCTACACATGTGATGTACCTCATCCAGTATACTCAGTGCCGCAATAGAAACTGTATGGGTGAAACCAATGGTTAGACTTTCGAATGGGCAGGAAAATAAGACAAACACTGTCACCTGTTAGTGAACACTTCTCACAAAGTGATCATTCGGAATTGGATCTCAGTCCCCACCCTCAAAGGAAGCTCTTTCAAAAGACAAGCCTTGGGAGCATAAACTTGTAACTTTGCTGGACACTAAAATAATGGAGTGAGTAGAAACCCATCTGGTCTCTGCATCTGCCCAAGGACAGCTGGCCAAACGAGCCACAAGCAGTGTGGAGAATGCAGTGAACTTGTCTGTGCCGATCACCTCATGTGGCTGCTGACAAGTGAAAAGCATCATACAGCCTCCAACTGTGGGATGCTCTTGCTAGCGCTTTCAGTTTGCTAGTTAAATCATTTTTTGCCTAAAACTGTAAAGAGTAATTCTTAGTTCCTGGACAGTTGATCTAACTTTTCCATAATTTTGGATGAGGGGTAAATCTATCTTTGTTCAGCAAAGCAATTAAGCACATTGAAATTCCATTGATGTCTTTGTATTTTAAGCATATGCTTAAGTGCTTTGCTGAAGGGGGAGGCTTTGATAAATGAATAGTAATAGCTCAATTTTTAGGGTGCTGAGCACTTGCCGATCCCACTGAAGTTAAGCCCTTTGAGATGCCTGATGGCTGAAATACCTGTATTCTTAACAAATAATCATTTTAACGCCTGTAGCTGTGTGACATAGTGGGGTCGTCTCTAATCTTTTTAAGCGCAACATCATTTTTTGAATTTGTCAGTCCAGAGTCTACCTCAAACCCCTGCTCCACCCCTTCGCTGAGGCCCCGCCCTCCTTAATCTGTGAAGATGAAGTACAGGGGAGGGGGACGGAGGGACATCAACTCCTCTCTGTCCCTTCTGCCCCCTCTGCACAACAAGCAGGAGGCTCCCAGGGGGCAGTTCTGAGGCTCTGGACAGGAGCAGTGGGGCAATGGTGGGAGGGGCAGCGGAAGTGCAGGCACTTCAGAGCCTCCCAGCCAAACAGGTCAGGATCACCTGTCAGAGGCTCCAAGATCTACCAGTAGATCCCAATCTACTGGCTGGTGACCACTGCTGTATTGTGTTGTGTATGATTCCTGATTACTCACTCCAGATGTGTGTGGGGCCCAGACACCTGAGGGCCAGACTTAGGAGATAACAACCCTTAGCCGGGAAGAAAGACAAGGAGAAGCGGGGCGGAACTAGGCCCGAGAATTGGGTCAGTCTCCACTGAGCTAGGAGGGGTGAGGAGGCTGAGAGCAGGAAAAGGGGGTGAGGAACCTGGGAACCACTTGCTCCCCAAGAGGAATACTGCTGCCTGCCTTGCGTACCTGTGCTAACGTCGTTCCTAAGCTACGCTGTGAACCAGTAAACCTTCTGATCTACCAGCTGGCTGAGAGTCACATCTGGCTGCGGATGGGGGTGCAGGGTCGAGGACCCTCCAACACGCCATCACAAGCTGTCACCCAGTGTGAGATTTTAATTCTGAATTATACTGAGAACATTTCCAGCTATCACATATCTCGTCCTTGTAGCAATTCATGCTTGTTTGGCCTGTTGCCATAACTCTAATATCGTTTTACTCTGTGCAAAGAAAACGCTACTAGTTTTTGGTAGCATCTGGTCTGTATTTTCTGTTGGGATTAAGGACCTGAATTGGGCAAACCATTTATGCACGTGCCCATCCTTGAGTAGACCCAGTGAAGTGACTAAATGCTGTGGAGCCTGTAGTGTATTTTGGGGAACTTTTAAGTTCATTGGGTTTCAGCTTTTAGTTGTTAAATCATTTCAGATTTTATAGAGATTTTCTACGCTTACCTTTAAAATTAAAATACATCTTTAATACATCACATAGAAACTGTGTGTTGGTACATCATATAACAGAGGCAAGAAGAAAAATGCTGCTGCTACATAGTCAAGATTTTTGTATTCTTGATCTTTTCTTTCAGCTTACTAACACATTGGGATTTTCATTTTTGGGAATACAAAGGTGTATGTAATAAATATAGGTTGTATCTCCCATAATTGGGATGCTTTAGTCTGCCAACATCCATGGTCCAGCAGGACCACAGATGTTCCTGGACCAGAGAGCCCAGGTATAGGGAGGTCAGGTAATGGGGTAGGGGGCCAGTGACCCAGCCAGGAGCCCCCTGTTGGGGGGAGAGGGAGATGTAGAAGGGCAGGCAGCTCTGGCCCCTGCAGCTGGGCAGTAGCAGGAGGCTGGCCCTGGCCACGGAGCTCCAGCTGAGGTGCTCGGGGGCCAGCCGCAAGAGAGCTCTAGCCTAAGCAGCCACAGCTGGGCAGGCAGAAGTGGGGCAAGGCTGGAGCCCTAGCTGGGGGCAGCAGGGCACAAGGAGTCATGCTGGGAGGGACCTGCCCTGGTCTGCCAAATCCTCTCATTCGGGACTGGTCAGGTCCCAAGGGTGCTGGATGAGGAGATCCAACCTGTACTATATCTCAGGACATTGGAAATTAAGGTAAATGTAAGTTGATGGGCAAAGAGTTTTTTAAAATGCCTCATTTGTCTTATGATCCAGTCCTGCAAGCTTTTAGTCGTGAGTGTACTCTTTTGCTACCATGAGCAGTCTCATAGGAATATATTCACAGCAATGAACACAATGCTAGGTTTCCAGAATTGTGCTGTACAATACATTTTGTTAGAGTGCAGCCTGTACCAATGCATCTCATGTTGGGAGAACAGAAGTACTTCCTTAGAAATCCTCTTTAATACATCATCAGCTTCATTTCTATCATTTCTTGTTGCTAGTATTATATCAACACATACATAAAAATATATTTTTTTAAATCCAAGAACAAATATATTATGTATAGTTGGTGCATTTTATGTTACTTATTTTTTTAACCATTTAAACTGGAAAATACACATTGTAAATTGCATTCTACAAAAGTAAGGAGAAACACTGATTTGGTAGAGGGGAAAAAAATCAATTTTCCATTATTTTCATAACAAAAAAAATATTTAACAAGCTTTTAAAATGTTCAAAGATCTAAAGTCTAGGTTATGTGTAAATCAAAACCATTCATATAGCATACCAACTTGCTCTTATGTGACAAGAAAAAGGTTTGTTGTGAATGTAACACAAATGAAAATATTCTCTACTTTCTCAAACAGGTGGCAGTCCTTTGGACAGTCCCAGGAATTTCTCTCCTAATGCACCTGCTCATTTTTCCTTTGTACCTGCCCGCAGGTAAGTTAGCACACTTTTTCTCACGATTGGCACATGAAAACTACCTGAGTGTAGTGCATATTTTCTACTCTGGAAAGTAGCTGCTAATTAGAGCAGAGTTTCTTAAAGTGGTCTGCGCACCCACTCTGAGAGAGCTGCTACCGCCATTCCGGTTTGTTTACTTACTGGCTCTGCAGCCATGGACCCTTGCGGCTCCCATTGGCTACAGTTCGCTGTTTGCAGCCAAGGGAAGCTGCAGGAAGCCGCGTGACCCGGGCTGCAAACAAATGGGAGCAGCCCAGGAACAGCGTTCTCAGTGGGTCCGCGGACTATTTTGAGAAACACTGATTTACAGGTTTTTAGGTTCTGTTCAGATTCCGATTAGACTGTAATGTTAGAATCTAGAAATGTCTTCAACATTCCTGGGTCTTCTCTACAGGTACCGATTGTCACTCCATTGTTATTATCTATTGTGTTTTGTTTAGCTTGCAGTTGCACAGTTTGGGTGCTACTGGAAAGCGCTTTCCTAGCACTGGTGGGGATTCAGAGACAGGGTTGGAGAACAAAGGGTGGGATAAAACAAGATGAAAAAGGCGATGAGACACACAGTTTATTAGATTCCTTGTTTGCTTTAACGTTTAACTGCACTTCCATAGCACTCTTTCAGGTAACACGTCTTATGGGAGATGAAGTATGTTTTCAGGGATCCTGAAGTTCTCTTTTCTAAACAAATCTATTTGTTTGCAAAGCCAGTCAAATTCAACATATTTATTCATTAATTTTTTATCTCTTTGCTGTGCCCAACATTTAATTTTCTTTTTGCTATATTAGTTTAAAATGAAATGCTCTGAATTTTCCATGTAAACCAGGACTGGGGAATCTTTTTTGGGGTTGGGGGCTGCTGACCCACAGAAAAATCAGTTGGGGCCTGCACACAAGTGAGAAGCCCTCCCCACCCAAAAAAAAAACAACAACCCAAAACCCAACCCCTCACTGATGTGGCCCCTGACCCAGAAGGAGAAAGACACTCCTCACTTCCCTTCACACACCAGAACCTACTGGGGTCTAGGCTAGTATATTTTGTGTATTCTAGTCCTGCAGTAGGCATAGGCTCCCCAGTGCTGAGGGGGGGAGCCCTGAGCCTTGGGGGCTGGATCCAGGCAAGCCGGGGGCCACATCCACTCCCCCCCCCCCCCACACCCAGATGTAAACCTTTGCCTTTTTCTCTGTGGTCCCAGTCTTTGGTCATGACAAGGAAACAATAACCATTAGCAATATTGCTATCGTAAGGAGATAGAGGTAATGGGTTAAATTTAGTACTAATTTTACATTTACAAAGGGACAGCACAGTGTTTCACTAGCATAATACAGAGGGATTTAAATGTGGAGAGCAGTTGCCTTGGAGACAAGTTTAGGAAAAGAGTTCCATATGTAGTTGGTAGTGTGGGGAACTTCACGTAACAGCTGCTAGTCACATCATGTAATGAGCTTTTGGAAGGAGCTCAGATACCATGGTGATGGGTGTAAGAGAACAGCCGAGAAGGTGTGAAGACAATCATGAATGAAACACACAAATGAGGCATTGAATTTAGCATCCATAGCAGAATAGCGGGCATAGAGTAGATGCGAGGGGTCGTAATACACAAAGACACAGGGTTGGATAAGTATCAAAGAACAGATAAATGTTGGGCCTTGATATCAAGGAGAAGACTGAACCTGATGTGGTGTATGTCGGGGGCAGGGAGATTCACAGAGTGTAGCAAGCACAGATTCATGTATGAGGAGGGTGATCCTAGAAGCTGCATTTCGCTTGGACTGAAAGAAACCATCTGGGTGTTTGCCAGAGAAGCGGAGGTAGTGGGAATCAAGATGGGAGATGAGGTCTGAAATGGGAATGATGGGTGGACATTGGAAATGCTTTGGAGGAAGGAAGTTGCAATATATGGGTTAGGGGGAGGGAGAAGTCAAAGATTGCCCCAGGATATGGTCTTGACTGTCAGATAATTCAAGGAAAACCATTGTGAGTCAACTGAGTTGCCTCCCACCTCCTGCACCTCAGTGTAATGCTAGCAGCAGGCTTTATGCTCTTTATCAGGCTTTGCATAAGGAAGCACAGTTAGTCACAGATTTCATGGTCTCGTATTAATTATATGGAATGATACCTAATATACCGGGGATAAGAAGAGGAAGAGGAGGCAGCAGGCAGGAGGGGAAAAAGTCCTTAGTACATGGTAGCTACTGATTAAAAATGCAAATGATTTAAATGCATTCCTGTTTTAAAGAGGTCAGATCCCAAGCAGGTGTAAATAGCTGTAGTTGCATCAAAGTCACCTGAATCATGCCACTTGACGCAGTTTGGGGTCTGGTTCCAGGGCTACATGAAGGAAAGCTGTCGATAAAACTGAAGACATAACTTGCTGCAGTAGTTGGCTGTTACAACAATGTTAACAATACTGCTTTTAAAGCCTTTTTCAAAACAGACAGCAAACCTTTTATCAGCCCAGCCTCTGAGAGCGATACATTGTATTCGGGATGTAAAATCCCATTTGATTGGTTAACTGATTAAACATCATTTTAACCAGTTAACTGATTAAAGAGGGGACTGGCGGGGAGGCTGATCCAGCCCGTCCAGAGCTGCCCCTGTCCATGGCGGGTAGGGAGCTGCCCCAGTCAACTGGACCTGTTTACCAGTTAACCTTTTACATCCCTGTTTTTCTGGTTTTTAACTTGAACCAGCCCCTAGCAGATGCTGCCAATGTTTTCACAAGATATTTACTTCAATATCAACATTCTGCCCCATGCAACAATATATAATATATATCAGTAGGGCCAAGAAACTCCAGCTGACATTGGAGTGCAGTTGAGTTAGGTTCTATATGGGCCACATAATTATGCGCCTTTCCTTAAGGAGCATAGAGTCTGAGTAAGCAAGCCAGAAGAAGTATTGGAAGGAGAACAAAGGCACAGAGACATGAAGTGACTTGCACAGAGGGAGACCGTTTCTGAGCTAGGTAGAACTGAGGTTTCGTGGTTTCCCATCCAATTTCATTATGCTAGAAGTACTTCTAAGTTGGGGTTCCAGATGCAAATGGTGGTGAGTAAATCCCAATAAAGTTTTTATAGATTCTGAAAATTGCTTTTACAGAAATCTCTATTTATGTTTTATTTTGTGAGCCTTATTAATGAAGGACTTAAACCCCCCTCCCCGCCCCCCGTATAGGGGTTTCAGGTGCCCGGCACCTTGGATTTTTTCAGAAGAAAGGTGCTGTGAAACGAGTATAGAAATAGAAGCAGGGATCAAAGTCCATCCCTGAAAAGAAGGGGCTGGAAGTTGGGCAAAAAAGGCTCTTGAACGCCATAAGAAATGGGGAAGAGGAAGGGATATGTATCACTTTGCTCTAGTACAGTGGCCTGTGGACCCCTGGTGTCCGTGACAGTACTGTACGGGGTCTGCAGAATGTTTAGGAAAGGAAAGGAAAAGTAAGGATCGGGCCCACTGTGCAACTGGGACTTTCTGCCAGGCAATTCTCACCCGGGGCTCATCGTTCGTGACCGGCCGCAGGCTGCCTCCCACCCTTGGGATGGGATCGTGATACTTCAGGAGGCACCGTCCCTCCTCCCTCCACCAGCTGCGCTGCCGTTTACGCTCCAACCCTCTTCTCCTCCCAGTCCTATGGTGGGCCAGATCCTTACTTTTCTTTTCCTTTCCTTGCTTTTCCCTTCCCGGGGCCCTGTGCCCAGCCAAGGGCGGAGTGCCGGTGCAGGAGCTGCCTTTGGCCACGAGAGCCCCCTTTCCATATCCTCCGTGGATAGGTAGGGGACAGAGCGGGCAGGAGCTGAGGAAGCAGTGCGGGCCAAGGGATGTGCTGGCTGCCACTATGTGCTGCTCCCCTTGGGTGGGGGAATAAAATTTTAACAGACTGAAAAGAGCTCCATAGCCGCAAAAAGTTTGGGAACCACTGCTCTAATAAATCCCTCTGAGACACAGAAGCGGGGAGACTTCCACAGATAAGAGAGGGTTGCCATTACCTTTCAGCCTTCAAGGAAGGAAATTAAAAAAGGAAAAAATAGGAAATTTGGTAGGCTCAGAACATCGTTCTCTATCGCTTTCCCCAAACACATTTGAATTTTGTTTCAGTTGTGTGTTGATGCTGCGTTTAAAATATAAAATTGTTTCAAACTTTTTACTTGAGCAAGGAGCAAACAAAATAAAAAGGGGACAGAGAGAAATAGCAGCAGCATTGAAAACAGCCAGGCTATCAGTAGCACTGACTCCTTATGGTCTGGGTTTAGTTGTCCTGGCACCACTGGTACAGCTATATTTAGTGGGTCACCTGGTTGTGCTGCCAACAGAACTGCTGAGCCCTGATACACTGGAGAGTGCTGTGCTGCCTTATCTTCTGGGAGCTGAATTTCCCATCTCGCCCAAATATTGTGCCACTGGTGTGTGGGCCCTAGAGATCATCCATTTGATCTGTTCTCTTCAGAGGTGATCCTCTTCTGCAGATTAATGGGTCCTCTTCCCACTGTGCAGACCAGTAACCAGTTGATCCTTTGGGCACACTGGAAAACAATGCAGTGTTGGTTGAGAAAACACCATGCTAGCTTTAAAGCCAATAGGTTCACCACTATATAGTGCAGAGCTGCTCTGTTTTAAATAGTGATTAATCAAAAATCCGTCGTTAGGCCGTTGATGAGCATTCAGTGAGTACGTTTCAAACCCACAGAGTCAGTATATTCAGATTTCTTCCAGTGTGACGGAGGTGTCCACTTAAATCCATACAGTGTTGTGAGAAATTCAGCAAAAGTGACTGTAATGATCAATAGTCATCTTTGTTACTGGTTTTCCAGAAATCACATTCACAATATTTATTTTTCCCTCCCTTACTGTAACTGCACAATTTCTTCAATTCAGCCATGGACACAGAGCAGACAGGTAAAGGATATATCAGATATATATTGCTGCTGTGTGTATGTAATGCTTTTGCATGATTGTATTATGTTATGCTGCTAATGAGTTTGTGCTATAACAAACCCATTTAGGCATTCAGCTTTTATTTTTTGAGAGTAAACATTTGGAGTCCTTGTATAGCAACTTACAATTATCAGGAATCCCTCCCGTAGAAAATGCTTTGTTCACACAACAATTTGTCAGAGCAAAGTTGATCTAGTCTACATTGTGTGATATTAGCACAACTGCCACAAATGCACTTTTTTTTAGAATGACATTTTAGTAGGTTATGTTTCGCCAGAGTTGCTTGTTTTGCCGACATTTCATTGTCTCAAAGGAATTATTGCAAAATGAAATAAATTACTTAGTTTTCTCCCCCCCCCCCCCCCCCAAAATGAAAAAAATTCCTCAGTTTCCCCCCCCCCCCCCCGCATCCCTACCTAAATCCGTACTGCATCACTTTTTAAAGATATATCTATTCCTCTTATTTTACACATTTAAATAATTTTGAAACATTTTGCTAATTGAGGAAGTAATTTTCTTGGAAAATCTTGCTGACTTCCTTGAATTTTTGAAACCAAAATTTTGCTAGTTTCATATTGCAGCTCTTTGTTGGCAAGATACACAGCTGGCATTCATTACGTCGATTGCTTCATACGCTTCTCAATGATGCATCAGATTTTGTGGAAATGGCTCCAAGAACTGAGACGTGTCATCTTAGGATGGTTTAAGTGGAGTGAAGGGGAGTGGGAAATTTTTACATCTGTGCAATCAAAATATGGAAATCCTACAAAGAGAAAAATGTGGCACACCCTTTATCACTATGCATCTGTTCAATAATATATGTGCTTTCTAAAATCTCTTCTGTAATATGTCTGTCTGCTTACAAGTCTCTCATTGCAATAGTGTTTGAGTCTCTCTCAATCCTGAATGGATTTTATCCCCTCAGAAATCTTGTGAAATAGGAAAGACTTGTTATCCTCATTTTGTATATGAAGGAACCGAGTCACAGAGTAGGTTAAGTGACTTGCATAATGTCACATAGAAAGTCTCTCTGAACCAGGACCTGAACACAGATCTCCTAAATCCCAGTCCAGTGGCTGGTCTGCTACCAGATCATGTAGTCAAATAATTCACATGGTCTCTTTACATTTGCTTTTATGGAGACAGCAAGAATCTTCTGTAATGTACAAGGATTCAGAATTTTTCAGGAATATAACAAGAAGGTGCTGTAATATATGGGGGGAGAATTCTCTTGGTCTCTTGCTAGCAACACCCTATGTCTACATGCGGTTTTAAGTAAGGCATGCATGAATAGCAATTGGTTCTAAAGCTTAAACATATATGATTTTGTGCATGAAGCATGACCCTTTTTTGCTTAATCTTTCAGAAATAAATATATTTATTTGCCTCTCTGGTATTCAGATAATTTTGTTACCTCGTGGAGAGGTACATGTCCGTATAAGAAGGCCATAGTCCAGGAAAGAATCCTTATTCAGGAAAAAAAAACCTAAATTAAATTAATGGAGATTGCCTATCTCTTAGAACTGGAAGGGACCTTGAAAGGTCATCAAGTCCAGTCTGCTGTTTTCACAGCAGGACCCAGTACCATCCCTGACAAATTATTGCCCCAAATCCCTAAATGGTCCTCTCAAGGATTGAGCTCACAACCCTGGGTTTAGCAGGCCAATGCTCAAACCACTGAGCTATGCCTCCCCCCTAAAGCATGTGCTTAACTTCAAGTACATGCTGTAACAGCCTTCCTGAGCTAGGTGCCCTAAGTGTGTGGATAATGGAGAGATGGCCATCACTCCATATAAAGAAAGTTCCATAGTTTGGTCCTCCACTAATAACAAAACATCTTGTCACATACAAGTTTACTATATATAAACTGCACCAAAAAACCCCAAGAAGTCTTATCTAAATTGTTTGAAAAGCTCTTACTTTTTTAATTCACTTCCAACTGATGTGAACAGGTATTGATAACTTGCCCCTGATTGGGATAAATAACACTTGTACCAGAAATATTCATAAATGGTGGTCGTTTTAATGATGTGGAGGATGAGGTGGAAACCCATTATCCTCCATCCCAGAGTGCAATGTGAATGGAATAAGATGCTATGAGGTTGAACAGGAGACAGAGACAACTAGATAGAGCTAAATGAACACAGCATTGTCCATCCCTGAGGTTTTTTTTGAGGGAAATTGATAACTCTTTTTGAAACAATTACATTTTTCATTTTTACAGGTTTGCTGCTAAAAATGATGCCACCTTTTCTGCCGCGTTTCTAGTATGCCTCGGTAGCTCTTTGGTGTCAGACACATTTTTTTCTTTAGCAGCTTTTTTCAGCGGTGAGGAGACATTTCCATGAGTTACAAATAAAAGAAAGAAAATTGCTACTAAGACTGTAAAATAGTAGTGAGGAAGGCGATCCTTAGAGAATAGCAAGTTACTGTTCCAATACAAGTATATTTGATTATAATGTGGTATTATAAGTGCTGCTTGGAGTAGGGATGTAAACAGGTAATAGTAGAGGTAGGGCAGGGGACTGCTCCAGCCCGTAGGGGGCCGTTGTGAGCAGGGGGCTGCTCAGCCAGCTGGAGCAGCACGCCGCAGGCCGGTGCACTCCAGTGCATGGGGGCCCGTCCCATCCAGAGCAGGGCATTCCAGCCTGGCAGCGATGGGCGGGGCGGGGCACCCCAACCCAAAGCAGCTAACCAGTGAAACATAATTTTTAACCAGTTAATTGATTAAACAGGATTTTAGATGGTATCCAAAATAAACTCTCTTGCTTCTTTTCCCCAGAACCGATGGGCGCCGCTGGTCCCTGGCCTCTCTTCCTTCCTCTGGATATGGAACAAACACTCCCAGTTCAACCGTTTCCGTAAGCTGCAAAGACTTGTTCAGATAATTCTGTTTCTTTAAATACACCCGAACCCATCAACTTTTACATCCTTGCTAAACGGGCAGTAATTTTTCATTGTTTTGTCAACCTTTTAGTTCACATACTGTTTGCTTTCAAATTGTTTAAATGATCAGTTGTGTGGGGGAGATCCCCCCCCACCCCCACTTCCTGGCTCTTACCACCTCTTGGCCTTCAGCATTAGTGCCATTCCCTCTGCCGCGTTTGCCTCCGTTGCCCCAGTAGAGTCAGCACTTGGAGATGGAATCCTTGATCATTAGCGGGCTTTCAGCTACTTCTCAACCAGAAGTGAAATTCTTGTCCACTTTTGAACATTAGCTGCCAAAAAGTAGAAGAGTTCTCTATAAACATGCTGTCTTGGAGGAAAGGGGATAACATACGCCTGTGATATAACTTGATAATAGTTTGAGTCTCTGAAAGCGGCTGTACCTTCATTATACATTTGCCTTAGACACATGACTTGAAGGAGTCTAGACTTCACCACTTACCGTACTATGGTCTCACCAGAAGCCTAATGTACCATTATCATAAATCATAAGAATCCTGCATCCGCTTTTCCCTTATGTAGCAGTCGGATGGTTCTCATCGTGAAGCGTACTCCTCAGAGTGTATTAACTGTAAATTATATTTGAAATTACACAGACAATTCAGTTTAAAGAATATTATGGAGGTTGCAAAATCAAGCACTCAGAAATTAGGAAATGCCAGAATAGAATTGGCCTGTGTAAACTTAATTTGTCCCTTTTGTGTATATACATTATTATAGAATCATGGAACACTAGAACTGGAAGGGACCTCAAGAGATCGAGTCCAGCTCCCTGCCCTTACAGCAGGACCCAGTATCATCCTGATAGAGGTCTGCCCAACCTGTTCTTAAATATCTCCAGGGATGGAGATTCTACAACTCCCCTAGGCAATTTATTCCAGTGTTAAACCACTCTGACAGGAAGTTTTTCCTAATGTCCAACCTAAACCTCCCTTGCTGCTGTTTAAGCCCATTGCTTCTAGTCCTAGTCTTTAATTATATGATCACATTTTATTTTTTCCTACAGTATCCCTGCCCTATTTCATGCAAAACATGGGCTGTGCTCACTTAATGAGCAGTTTACTGAGAATTTTGTTTTATCTTCATTAAACAATATGTGGCCAGAAGGCTTATTTGCTGCTCACTATTTAAACCTGCTCTGAAGACAGAATTATTCATTTCCTTAGGGGCTTTTCTATGGTACTCATCACAGTAGTGTCTCAGTGCTTCACAGACATTAATTAATTAATTTCCACAAAACCTCTGTGAGGGGAGAGATATTCTTATCCACATTTTGCAGGTAGAGGAACAGAGAGGCAGAGAGATTAAGTAAAAAATACCCACTAATCTTTACCAATCCCCTTCACGTAACAAGAACCTGGGGTCACCCAATGACGTTAATAGGCAGCAAGTTTACAACAAACAAAAGGAAGTATTTCTTCACACAACACACAGCGAAGCTGTGGGATTTCTTGCCTTGGGATATTGTGACAACCAAAAGTCTAACTGGGTACCGAAAAAAATGAGGCTATACCTACACTTGCAGAGTTTGCACCATCAGTTTCACTGTAAAAGAAAAGCGCTGATTTGTGTAGTCACTTACTTCCACAGTTGCAGCACTTCCATCGCTGATGAGAGCAGTGCCTTGAGGGCAGCTATCTCACAGTGCAGCTTGCTCCATTTTGACAGTAGGTTTTATGGGAAGGGTGGGGGGATGACAGGCCATCCTAAGTCCCTGCACAGCCCTCGCTCACCAAACACTGGTCAGCTCCAGTAGCTCAGCATTGCTACCAGCAGAGGATCGTTTGCTCAATGGAGCAGCATTATCACCTGGCCAGATAAGTGAGCACTTGCCAAGAAAATAGGAAGGAGAGTTTCAAAGGTCCCGGGGCCTTGCAGGGGAAGGACAGACATCTGTTTACCTGGATCAGAGCAGCAGAGGTGCTGGCCAGAGTGGTCATCTGGGTAACTGAGGGATATCCTGTGGAGGCTAAACGCTCTGTATACAGCAAGACTGTGTCTTCACTTGCACATCACCACAAACGCATTGCTGGTAAGAGCTGCATCCCTCTCGCTGTGAGTGAACTGTCTGTGTTTCACCACAAAAAGCCATTGGCAAATGTAGACCTGGCTCTCATGGGTTTTGTGCAAAAAGGGACTTTTCCTGCTTTAAATGGCAAGTGTAGCCAAGCTCTTAGATCAGTTCATGGAGAATGGGTCCATCAGTATGAGCCAAGATGGCCAGGGGAGCGACCTCATGTTCCAAAACCTCTAACTGCGAAGGGGTGCTGCAGGGAACGGATCACTCAAAATTTCCCTCTTCTGTCCATTCTCTCTCTAGCATCTGACTCTGGCTACTGTCACAATCAGGATGTTAGGCTTGACGGACCATTGGTCTAACCCAGTGTGGCTGCGGCTGTGTTCTTAATTCTTAGCATCTTATATGTTGAGAGAACAGCTCCCACTGGTGTTATTTGCAGCTGTGAGTTTTTCACACTTCTGCAGATCTGATCCGAGGGTCAGTCACCTAGAAAATGAGGTACACCTAATTAGTGACTGTCTGTGAAAAGTTTGGTGCTAACATCACAAAGGAACTCTGTAGCAGAAACAGGGCAGCATTCAGCTGTCTTAACCACAGACCAGCCTTTCTTTTATTGTCATCCACCCCCGTCATGGACCTTCCCACTTCTGCAACAGAGGAAGCAGGTGTCAGGCAGACGACAGTCTCTTTTACTGTATAGCCCTGAGACATCACCAAAGCAGGTCCAGTGTGTGAACTGAATGAGACGGGTCTTGTGGAGGGAGAACATGAGAGACTGTGTCATAATGTTTATGCACAAGGGGTATGAATTAAGTGCAGACGTGATTGCCCCATTTCAAAAAAAGATGTATTGGAATTGGAAGAGGTTCAGAATGGGCAACAAAATTGATTAGGGGCATGGAACAGTTTTCATATGCGGAAAGATTAATAGAACTGGGACTTTTCAGCTTGCAAAAAGAGATAACTAAGGGGGATATGATTGAGGTCTATAAAATTATGGGTGGTGTGGAGGAAGTAGGTAAAGAGATGCTAGTTACTCTTTCTCATAACACAAGAACTAAGGGTCACCCAATGAAATTAATAGGCAGCAGGTTTACAACATACAGAAGGAAGTATCCCTCCACACACATCGCCATTGATGGATCTGTCCTTCAGGAACTCACCTTGTTCTTTTTTGAATCTGGTTATAATCATGGCTGTCACACACAGTCAGCCCATGGAAATCTGTGCCAGAAGATATTGTGAAGGCCACGATTATAACAAGATTAAAAAAAGAACAAGGTGAGTTCCTGAAGGTCAGGTCCATGAATGGCAATTAGCCAGGATGGGCAGGAATGAGAATCTGGGAATGGGCGACGGGGGAGGGATCACCTGATGATTCCCTGTTCTGTTCCCTCCCGCTGGGGCACCTGTCACTGGCCACTGTGGGCAGACAGGACACTGGGCTAGATGGACCTTTGCTCTGACCCTTGTGCCATTTACACAAGCACCTTAGTTCTGGCGTTTCCTCGCTCTTGAGCACTTAACTTTAACCTTAATAACGATCTTTTAATATAATTTTTAATGTAATTTCCTAAGGTTTTTTCCCCAAAGAAAACTGAAAAAAACAAGTGATATGACATATTATCATATAGTCACCCACATGGTTCATTAACAGGGTTGGTACTTTCATATGCACCCCACTGACGAGCCACTTGATCTCAGGAAGTAACTGATAGCAATAGTAGGTTGTCATCCTTTATGTGGACCCTCATTGGAGGAGGGATGAGACACCAGTGAGTTTCACAGATATTCGATGACAGATGGTCAGGCTCAGGAATCTTAGGTTCCATTCCAAGCTCTGGACAGACCTTCTGCCCCACTTCCTGCAACCTGCCCATCCCACCGTTGGCTCCTTATCCCATTCCCAGCTCCTCATCTCAGTCTCCCCTAACTCCCAGTCAGTTTCTCCTTATTCCCCCACTCCAGTCCTAATCCCATGAGATTCCTTTGTTCCTTCTATTCCTTTCTCTCCTGGGTTTGGCTTTCACCACTTTTTCGTTCAAACTCTAGCGTCTGCATCCTGCCTGGGCAGCAACAGGGGGCCTGGATCTTTGCTCTTTGGGCCAGTGCCCACCCCCATCTTAGTTCGGAGCAGCCATTACTAGGAAAATCTGGCTTTGGTCCTGCAGTGCTGAGTTGTTCTGAGGAAACGGTTTGCACAACATTGTCACAGGTAGGAGCCGGCAAGGGAAGCAGCACAGTCTGAAGGGCAGTAGGAGCTGTGAGAGGCTCAAGTGTATTCATCGAGGACAGAATCTTTGGAGATTTAACTGCAGTCATCAAAGAGGTCTCTGTTGAGCAGGAGGGAGGTGTGATTATTCAAAAATGTATACCTTGGCTAAATTTGGGGCAGAGTTTTACAGACAGCGAAAAGCACGTTGCTGACACAAGGGCTATTCTCTTGCCAAACTTCAAGTCCTTGCTCTGAAGCGTGGGGGCACTAGAGCCGTTCAATGGAAAGACCTTTCAACATGGGCAAAAATCTCAGGAAGGGGGTGAGCGTTAGAGAACGAACTCCCACCCACGCCGCAGCTTCAAAGCACTGTCTACACAGCTACATTTGGAGCGCTAGCGCCAGCCCCGCTATTCCCAACTCTGTCGACCATTGCTGAGAAGCTGACTCCCCTGGGCTGCGTAGACGTACCTTAAGGGTTTGAGGCTTTCCCAGGAACACAGGGAGCTAATGATACAGGTGTTACTAGAATCTGGCACTCCCAAGCTCCGGATGGGTGTGTTCGATCCATTGTATTCTATTTCCTCTTAAAACGAGAGAAACCAGCTCCAAGTGAAATACTGGAATGCCTGGGACCAAGCCAGAGTCCCCATTCTGGTGCTCTGGGTTACTGTGTGTTCTGGCCATTTCTCTACTGAGAGTCAGCTGGTGTTGGTCTTGGTGAAAGGACTGCAGGTCTGCCAGCTGAATCAAAAAGCAAGACACTTAGCTGTATTGAACTTACTAAAAGCTGCATCTCTCTCCCTCTCTGTATATTTCAACTTCTGTGTTGCTGGTGCCACAAAGTCCATTTTTCAGCAAACTGCTGCCTTTTCAAGTGTCAAATACTGTAAGGAAGCAGCCTGCTTCTGACTGTACACACCCTGGGACTGCTGTGCATGACTGATGTGGGTGCAGACTCTCAAATACATGAACATGGAGAAATCAATTGAACAATCTAATACCACATGACTTCCTTAAGTATCTAATTGGCTATTTATTTACTTAGAGTTAATGTAAAAGCCGTCAGCTAATATTACTATAGCTTTTACAGGTTGAACCTCTCTAATCTGGCACCCTTTGGAGCTGACTGGTGCTGAACCAGAGAATTTCCTGAACTATGGGAGTTCAATAGTGTTTAGCAGCGTTACCAACACTCCACTGCTTACTGTGCTCTTAGAAGACATTTATCCTCATTTTGTGTTTAGCTGTGAGACATATGATTATAAATCCCGGCATGCAATTCCCCATTGTAATATAGGTAGCCAGACTTGGATACCACATAGTACGTTAGAATTCTTCACTGTGGGCACATCTAGACTATGGGTTTTTTTCAAAAGGAGATACACAAATTCAGAGCTAATTTGCATATCTTCTTCCGATTGCTTTTTTGAAAGTGGGTTTTTCAAAAGTGAAAGTACTCTGGATGCGTTTTTTTCCCCGGGAAAACCCCCTTTTTTGAAAAACCCCCTCTTCCTAAAAAAAAAAAAG